CTCCCTGGAAGGTATCTATGATGTGTGTGCATTCTATGTGATTTTCCTCCTAAAACCTCAGTCTGGGCCCAGACCCCTTAGGACTTCCAGCCTGACCGCCCAGCCCTCTGCCACCAACTGTGATTGTGTCATCTGATCACCATGACCTGCCTCACCTACAGAGGAGGGACTTAGGGATACTCTTGCCCAGGTCCCTTGCAGCTACAACACTGTTCGATTCCAAAAGACAAAAAAGGGACGCTGAGAAGGGGCACAAGCCAGATCAAGGAGGACCTTACCGGTCAAGGAAAGGAGTTTAGATTCTTCTCGAAATGCAAAGGGAAGCTGTTTGAGGGTTACAAGCAGAGAAGTGACGTGAGCTCATGTGTTTTGTAAAGTACATATGCTCCGATGAAGAGGAGAGAAGAGACCTGCTCTTTCTGTGGTAAAGTGAGAGAGGAGAGAAATCTCGCTTCTGCCCATTTGTGTTCCACACGCCACTGCAAACCATGGTTGGATCTGCTCCAAGGTTTGCTCTGAGATCTTGCTTGCAACTCGATTTTTGTCCTCCTCGATATCTCCAAAAGTAGCATGAGCCAAAGCTGAAGGGCAGGATGTGGTTTCTGCATGCGGTGACCACCATCCCTTCCTCTGGTAGCCCAGAACCATTCCTGTTACTGCACGACTAGTCACTGCAGATCACGCCGGATAGCCAGCCTGCCCACGCGGCAGTCATACCGTGGAATTCAAGAGGAGCCTGAGAGCACCCCCTCCTCCCCCTCCTCCTCCTCAGCACAGCCACAAATTACTGGCACCTGGGCTAAAATTTGCCCAGCAGAAAAGAAACAGCTATTTCCAAACAAGACATTTTCTTCTGCTCTCTTGTTGTCTAAGTCATCTTGGTAAATAAATTGCAAGATAAAGTCCTGCTCCCCTAGACACATAGCTCTCTTAACACAGAAGTAAAATTAATTAATTCCGTCCTCTTTGACCACTAGTTCCACATGATACTATCCACTGGTTTGGGGCCCCGCAGAGTTCTGCCGATGTGGAAAGTAGAACTAAATGGTTTGCCCAAAGCAACTGCCCCAGCCCAGTTATTAACACTTTCTGGGGATTATTTCTCCCTCACTGGTAAAAACTGATTACCTGTCACAATGTAATCCTGATACAGAACTTCAGACTCTGTCTCCCAGAAGAGAGCAATACACGATATTGCCACTAGTTTTAAAGTTTGGCCCTAGGTGCAAATTTGATTGACCGTGAAAAGCTGAAGTCTTTAAGTGATCAAAATACATGTTCTCTGTTAAGACACAAATGGGCACAAGTCCTCGCTCTACCACTTACTGCTGATGTAACTTTAGGTATTTAAATTCTCTGAGCCACAGTGTCCCCTTTTATCAAATGGAGAACCCAACTCACCAGCTTACCATTGAAGACTAAGCAAGATCAGATCGTACATGGAAGTGCTTAGTGCAGTCACTGGTATGTAGGAAACCCCAATTAATGTTAGCAAAATAAGACCACATAGTAGATGCAATTTTGTAAGTCATAAAATGTATCAACTTTAATTCTCATCAACAGATAGGAAGCTATTAAATGTATCACAAACATAATAAAAATGACAGAAAGGAATATTAAAATTTGAAACCATTGAAGCATTTGGTTGGCAATGATAAAATTGAAATACAGGGATTCTAAAGATCTTTAACCCAGCTGTACTTTACTAATTCACTATACCCTCCTTAGCAGTAATTTTACTTACTAATAGTCTCTGTATTATGGTAAAAACTAATGATAATAATCTGAGTATATTCTTTGTACCAGACACTGCTATGAATGCTTTATGAACACAGTCAATCTTCATTGCAACTCCGATGTGGATACTATCATTATGCATATTTTACAGATGGGGAAACTGATGCAGGAAGTTTGGCTCTGAAGCCTTTACTCTTAAATTCTAGTGATAGATACAGATATATAAAACTTTATATTATAATTTATATTATATCATATTATAGTTGGTAAACTATAGCCTAAAAACCAAGTCTGGCCCCTCACCTGTTTTTGTAAATAAAGCTTTATTGAAAAACAGCCACATTTATTCATTTACATATTGTCTAAGGCTGTTTTGCATTACAACTGCTGAGTTGAGTAGTTGAATAGTTGTGACAGAGCATATGGCTCACAAAGCCCAAAGTATCTATTATCTTGCCCTTTATAGAAAGCTTGCTAAACCTTGATATTAGCTGTAAACTTCACTAAAAGACTGGGGTCTAGAAGAGGATGAAATACTATAATAATAATGCCTTATATTTGGTATTTAGAGTGGGTTTTTACATATTTATCTCTTTGATTCTCCTAACAACCCTGTGAAATAGGTAGTCTTTTTAGTTCCATTTTAGAAATGAAGAAACTGGAGTTTGAGAGGGTAAGTGACTAACAGAGAGGACCACTGACTAACAGTAAACACCATGAGTCTAGCCATCATGTGTCTTTACTGTCATATCCATGTCACCTACCACAATGCTAGGACAGTGGGCACTCAAAAAAAAGGGGGGGGGGGGGAGTTGTAAAGGTCACCTGACTAGAGAAGCTGGGTCTCCTTCAGTTCCAGGGTTTTTTTTTCTCCTGACCCCACCACCGCCTGGCAGTGAAAAAAGGGACTTTCTCTTGAGATAGGGTTAAACGTAGGGTGGCTGACCTGTCTTTTCTGCAGTTAATTGAGAAATTTTTGCTGCTGCCTTCCTCCTGCCTCATCAAACATCATCTCAATCAAACCAAAGGGCTTTTTGTTTTCCCTCAAGTACACAGTCACAGCCTTGAGAGTTTTCTTCTCTTTGTGATTGGTGCATTTTTCAACAAGATTAACGATGCCGCCCTCAAGGAGGGTAGTCACATGGAATCTGGGTTTTGGATGGATTTCAGGCAGAGCGCTGCCCGCCCTTCTCCCACCCCATGATGAGTCACAGTGCACAAGCCAACTGCCCTTCCGAGAGCGACTCAAGGCTTTGTTTTCTTTCATCTTGCTTCATGCTGGTCATGTGAGGCACAGGGTATTAATAGACCATCCGGTTGGCTTTCTGAATCTGGTTGTTGTTGGTCAGGGAGATAAACGAAAGGTTTGGCCAGTCCCTTTGTGCCATTTGTCACTCCTCTCTTGACTGTCACGTGCCAGTTGGTGACAGAGCTAAACCAGGCAAGCAGAGGTCATCTAGTGTGGTCATTGCCCGTGAATGTGGCCTCTACAAATGTACTGACTTTTTGCCTCTCTTTGTGGGTCCTCGGTTGGGTCAGCTCCTGACTTCCAACATTGGATCACCAGTAGTAATCTCAACAAAGCAGCTTCAACCTTTCTTCATCTTCTCCTCCTTGCATGTGTGAGAGATACATAAGCCAGGCAGGAAAAAGTTTCAGGGTGTTTTGTTTAGCTTTTTTTTTTTTTCTTAGAGTAAAATTATGTTCAGGAAATTAAAAATCTGTATGTGGTTTGACAGGCTCCTAAGGGGCTCCAGGAGGACAGAAGGTTTAAACAAATGCTTTGGAAGCAGAGGTTCTTTGAATTGCTTAGGGCTTTGATCCAAAAGTTTCAGTTCTCCTCTGCAACCCGATTTTTAGAATGTCACTTTGCTAGTTCCCTCAGCCTTGATGCCAGTGTGCAGGCACAGTGTCATGCTTGGTGTTTACTGACCTGAAGCGAAGTGGAGCTGGGGCCTGGCCAAGTTGATGAAACTCCCTGGAAAAATTTCTGAGGAACAGACATTCAAGCTTTAATGTAAAGGAGAGGTCTTGGTTCTAAGGCTAAGGCCAGCTAGTTTCAGTTGGGGGCCTGCTGGGCCCTGGTAAAATTATTGTCACCTTACATCAACCTCTTTTATTTGATAACTCTGTGAAAGCATGAAGTGTATTGAGAAGGTCTCTGCTGAGTCCTGCCATGGGTGTAAGTTAGCAGGCTTAGTCTCTTGAGCCTAACTTTGCTCATCTGTTAGGTGGGTTGATCTCCTTGATCTCTGAGATGCCATCTTCCAGTCAAGTTTCATTTTTCAACAATAGAATGTTTAATAGATCTTTTTCCTTTTTTAATGTTACCACATCTGTAAAGAATTTTGCTACCAAAGAAAGACTGGACTAAGGACGCACCAACTTAAATTATTACCTTTCTTTCTTTTTGCTTGGCAATAAATGGTGTAGTGGGATTAGGACACACTCCTTCAGCAAACACACTGACCTTTATTTTTCATGTAATTTTGGGCCAGGCACTGGGCTTTTTTGAGCATTCCCTCATTCAGAGCTCTCAACTGTCTTGGGGACTCTGAGTATTATTAGTACAGGTGAAGAAACTGGGGCACCAAGAAATTTAGGAGCTGGCCCATAGTCACAGAGGCTCCTAGTCTCTAAGTAGAAATAGGTATATGTACTCTACAACCCTGAATTCCTCTCTCTTCCTGTGATTGGTCTCTTTCTACAGGAAGATTAAGTGCAGTGGAATATTCTAATTAACAGACATTTTTACTGAAGGCTGCATGGGCAGGAGATTTCTGGATAAGATTTGCCCCTTCCTTGGAAAACACACGTCTTGCTGACCATGAACTCTAATGTGCCTTGAGGAACAGTTGGTGCCTGTGGGGAAGAAGTTCAAGTAGGGGTAGAAAAATTTCTGCTGGGAGTGATTCTGTAGAGCTCAAACATTTACAGGTCATAGGAGGCTTTGTTCCCTTCAGAGTCCTCGGCTTCACTTGCTGAAGTAGGCCAAGCAGAATGAATTCACCCTGGCTGAAGCCAAACTCTTTATATTTAAAAGAAAAAAAAAGCAATTAAATATTCAGCCTGATTCCTGGGGTTTGAGTTACCCCCATTTGTCTTTCACTTTGAGCATCTGCTTTTTATTGCACTGTGGGACCGCCTGCTATCTATGTCTCCTCGTCGGTCTGTATCTGCATGTCATGTGACTCAAAAGCAAAGATTAGAGGAGAAAAATGTCTCTGTGTTCTAAGCCTGGCAACTTCTATTTTTATCCACAGCTGTTGGAACTGATAGCAAAGTCACAGCTCACATCCCTGAGTGGCATCGCCCAAAAGAACTTCATGAACATTTTGGAAAAAGTGGTACTGAAAGGTGAGCTAGCTCTCTTGCGCGCTTTCTCTCTCCCTCTCCCCTTTTTATAGAGATGGGGATGGGCAGATGGATATTCCAACAGAGCAGATGTGTCTGCTTTAAGGAAGAGTGAGTGGATGGAAATGAATAACTCCAAATGTGTTTCAGGGGTGCCAAACTCTAGTTCAGAAAGGAGTGCTGCTCATGCTCATGATGAAGGGAGAGACAGTCACCTTCCCATCCTTTTATCAGGAGCATCCATTTACCCTGCCGTAAGCCTCTCAGACGTCTCAGTGTGTGCACATGTCTCAACCTTGGCTACCAAGCCTCTGGATTCCAAATTCCTAGAAAATCGAGCTATGTACAAGGTAGAACAGACTTATAGACTATTTGCCCTAGAAGGAGCTTTAGGTCTTTGGCTCATTTGATTCATTGTGCATATGGGGAAACTGAGGTCCATAGAAAGAGTAATTTATCCATGATCACCCAAAGACTCAGGCAGACAGGATCAGAACTCACATTCCTGACTGCTGACCACCGAAACAACACATCACTGCTGGGCTAAAGAACCTGCTTTCAGATCAGGTGAGCCATTGGTGCTGGTGAAACAACAAAGAGAGAAAGAGTCTTTGTCAAAAACTAGGGAGAAGAGAACAAAGAGGGACCTAGATAATGGTAACTCTACCCAGTAACCTCAAGTGTGGAAGCTTGGCCAAGTGTAGAATAAATAACAGTGAGAAAGAAAACCACATCCCTGGAGGCAGTACCCACGTAACATGAGCAGAATCGAGAAGAAAGGCCCACTTAGAAAATATACAGTGTTCCAGTATCATAACTGGTAATACTTTTTTTCTTCCCCATTCAAGTCCTTGAAGACCAGCAAAACATCAGACTAATAAGGGAACTCCTCCAGACCCTCTACACGTCCTTATGTACACTGGTCCAGAGAGTCGGCAAGTCTGTGCTGGTCGGAAACATCAACATGTGGGTGTACCGAATGGAGACAATTCTACACTGGCAGCAGCAGCTGAACAATATCCAAATTACCAGGGTAAGCAGGAACGCCCCAACTTCCTCCTGGCAGGAAAGACTTGGGTCAGTTCCTCTGACCAAAGCCTCACCAGGACTTTACATCTTCTCTAGTGGTGGAAGAGTCTGGACTGTTCTGATTGGATGCATTCTACTGGGTGCTGAGCATGGGTTGGAAATTCCCGATAAAAGAGAGGGTGGGAAGAAGATCTCGCAAAACAGGGTCAAAGCACGTGAATTGAAGCATGGTAGGAAGACTGGAAACTTGGATTTGGAGGGGATCTCCCCTCTTGCCCATGTCCTCCTAAAGAATATGTCCATTACAGCTGTAGGAATGCTGCCTTGAATACAATAGAACTGTGATGGCAGTGGCTTGGAAAGCTGGTACCCACCTTGGAAAATTGTAGTTCCAATGATTAATAATTATGACAAGGAATCCTTTGGTTAAAGACCGTGAACATACGTGGAGGCCAAAAAGAGCAATTCTCACTCCAAGCCGGGGAAAGAAAAGGCCCTATATTACAGCTAAACTACTATCAGTTGTGTCTTTTAGCTTTTAGAACACAACTTGGCCCTCAGCTCCTGTCCTTTTAATAGTGAGCAGGAGGATGGAGGCACACAAAAAATGTGAGAAAGACACTGTTCTAATCTCCTGAGGCTCGCTAATGGACAGGCACACTTAGACAGCTCACGTAGCGCTCCCCTCGCTTATCACTGACCGCGCTGTTCTAAGTGGTTCCGGGACCCAAGCTGATAAAGTTTGGGTCTGCCCATCTCTTGAGAAAGTAACATGAAGAAACCTCTTTGACCTTTTTTAAATAATGATTTTACCATGTGAAGTTTTCAAAATGCAGCTGACTTGACTTTGCTGTTAATAACCTCTCTGGGCCTTAGTTTCTTAAACTCTGAAACAAGGGGGATAATGAGAAGCCTCAGAATTATGTGACTTCTTTCGAATCACTTAGGCTATAATTCTTACACTTACACACACACACACACACACACACACACACACACACACACACACAGAGCACAAGCCCAGATAATCTTTCAAAACCTGTCTCAACGATTTATCTTAAGAGTGTGTATTCTGAACATTTACCTAATTTATTCTAATCATCTACCCCATTCCTTTCACTTAAGTGTAGGCATAGTTTGACAATGTGAATTTGAGGGCCAAATTCCCAGCTTATCTCTCACAGAAAACTTACTTAACACCTTATGCCTGATTCCTGGTGTTCTGTGTAGCCTGGACTTAATGCTTTCTTTTTTTGTCTAAGCCCAGGAGAGAATCATCTAGCCAGTGATCTAAAAGAGCAAATCCCATCCGTCCTAAGGGCCTCTTCCCTCCATCTGCTTTGGGACACTAGATGATCACACTTGCCCAGAGTTTGCCTCTGTGTCCTGTATCTGTATCACAGAGCTTCCTTGGCCATAGCCGCTCATGTACTCTGCACTCCCATGGGCTCATTCACCTGGACCCCCCCCCCCGCCCCTTTAACTGATCTACAAGCACTTGGGAGAGGAAGTAGCCATTGTAGGTGCTATCACTGTTCATGGGGTGAGACCAGAGAAGCCCAGCGATTTAGGCCAGAACCTGGGACTCCTTATTCCTTACATGGCAAAGCTTTCTTAACATCAGTGGCTTCCAAACTTCTTTTCAATCCAGCTTTCTTCCAACTATTTATTCAATGAACCAGCTTTTTGCAGACCTTTTACATCTAATCCCATGCAGGACAGATCAAACACTGCCGTTCATCTCACTCTCCCCTCTGCTCCTGGCACTCCAGCCAGGCTGAGCTATCCTCTGCCCATTCCAAGCTTGGTCCTGCCTCCCCAGACCATCCAATCCCCTGAAGACATTCTCATCTCACATTCCTCGGAGGAGTTGTTGCCATCTGAAATTATCACATACATGATTCCACTCCCCTGTCTCCATCCACTGGTTTATGAATGCCACAAAGACAGACACTACTTGCTCCCTGCTCTCTTCCCTCTGCCTTGCACAGGGAACTGGGCAGAAAGCAGTTGATAAATCTTAGATGAATGAATGAATGATTGAAGGGAAGTAATGCCTGTCCCCTAGCCCTGGTGTAAGATTTAATAAGCTAACATATAGAAAGTACTTGGAACAGTGCCTGGCATGTAGTAAGTCTTTGCATGTGACAGCTCTTATTGTCACTAAGGGCTTGCTCTGTGGCAGGCACTCTTCTGAGTCTTTCACGTGTATTAATTAACTCATCCAGTGAATAATTGTAAGTAGGGGTCTTTATAATAGCTGATTTCCACCAGGCACCGTGCTAAGTCCTTCTGTGCATTATCTCATCCACTCTGCCCAGCAACACAGTAAGATATGCTCTTCCTTATTTTATAAATGAGAAAAATCAGGCTGAGTCATCACTGAGTACTGTGTGGCTGGTGCCTCAGTGCAGGTGAGATGTAGTAGTCTGGGGACTGAACCCAGGCCTGTCTGCAGAGGCTGCACTTCCAGCCACTGCACTCTGCTCCCTGCTGCCCTCCTTCCCAGCCCTCCTCGCTCTGAGCCACATTATTTTGAGAGCAGTGATGGGAACCATGGAGCTCTATAGATGCCCAACTCTCCAGAGGAAAGAACGACTGAGAGAGAGGGAGAGAAATGGGACTTAATTACTTCAGTCTGGACTATATTTTAAAGCCGACTTTTTAACAGTTTGGGCTAAAGAGAAGTATGTTATTACACAGAAATGTTAAGGTGACATTTACAGTAATTGCTTTCTATTTGCCAGAATTCTAGCAGCATCTTCTGGCATATGATCTTGTTTTTCTTCAAAATTTCATATCTAATTCTATGGAGCCAGTTTTTATTGGCAAAAATAATTAATAGGGTAAAGGATGAAGGGGGAAAAAAATGAAAAGACCCAGTTTGGAGGTGGGGAGAATCAAATAGGATCACAGCATGCTATGGGTAAGGCAGTGTTTTGAAGCAGGTAGAGGGCAGGGTGGCCATAAAAGGATTTTAGCCAAATGAGTGATTAGAGGAGCAAGAGTGACTTATTTTTCTTTTTATATGTTTATATCCAAAAAAAAAAAAAAAGAAGAAGAAGAAGAAGAAGGCATGCAAGCAGTTAACCATTTATCAGGAGTAAGGGCTCAGCATGGGGTCTGGGCAAGGATTTTGGAAAAGTTCAGGTTTGAAAATTTGAGAGTAAACTCTGCCAAGTGGACTTTAATAGGAGTCCATGTAATAATTGGCCTGGGAGTTTTAACCAAAAAAGTAGATGCTTTGAAGTGCTGGAAACAAAAAGAAAATTTCATGGCAGTTTTATTAGCTCATATGATCAGCAGCAGATGATAAACGACAAATAGGTCTAGAGCCTTCAGCAGTCCAGCAGAGTCCTGAATTTTGCAAACAATTGAAAGTTCAGCCCAGCAGCCTGAGCAATTTAAACTGTCAAGTCATAGACACTTCTGATGAGTTAAAGAGGCTGAAGCTGATCCAAATCTGAGATTGTTGGAGCTGGAAGGGATTTTTAGTCTTCTAAGCCAATTCATTTTGGACATGGGGAAACTGAGACCCAGAGTTCCCAAGGGCACCTGGCATCCAGATCTGCTGCCTGTCCATCCAGTGTTTCTCCCATGCTACCTCCCATTCCTCCCTATAGTCCCAACTTCCCAAGGCCCCACGCCTCTACACACCTGTCCTGCTTTGCAGGGGACATAGTGGGAATTGGTGAGACCACCCCCCCCCAGGGGGGGGCTTTGATCTGCCTTGAAGAGGGTAGTTCCCTAAAAATTTGAGGAGGGGACTTGAAACCCATTGACAGGATATTTTCCCCCTAGCTAAGGAAGGGCTTCTGCATCCTATATTTCTTCCTGTGACAACCCCTCCGCCCCACCCCCAGAGGGACAGAGCACTGAGCTAAAAATGTTAGTAGTCCAAAATCAAGAGCTCACCCAGGTCTAGCATGGGAAGAACAAAGAGCCACAATCTCAGGTGATTCGTGCTGACTTCTTATCCAAATGGCAGCATCAGTTGCTGTTCGAAACGTATCAGTAAATACTAGTGAGGACCTTCTCTGTACAGATTGTCCCAGAGCACTCTGTGCCTCCCTCCTTGATAGCACTTAACATATTGTCCTGTCATTATTTGCTTATGTTTCTGAGTCTCTTGCCAGCCTCATGAATCCATTCCAACTCCAGTGCCAGGCCATAGTAGGCCCTCAAAAGAGGTTGTTTGTGCTGGGCTAGTCTGTAAGGGATACGAAATTAGACCCCACCTTCAAGGATCTAGGCGTGGGTGGGATAACATGAGTCCATCGAAATGTAAATAATAAATTAAATAAAATTAAACAGTTGAATACAAGTTCAGGGTTATAGTAGAAGAAGCTCCTGATTAATTGCCAATGTATTATCCACAAAGAGTTTTTTTTTTTGTTTGTTTTGTTTTTTTGTTTTTTTTAATGTTCTATGGAGCCCTAGGTTTCAATAGAGATGCTGTAATGGATGGGATCACTTATGCCAAAAGGTTCTGGACTAACCATCCCTAAAGCACACGTGCACACACACACACACACACACCCATACATACGTGCATGCACACATACACAAGTACATATAAGCACAGGATCTTTTTGTTGTTTTTCACCTACTTAATTATTAGGGTTTTCATTCATCCCTCAGATATTTTTTGGGTGGCAACTATATGCTAGGCACTTTCCCAGGCACAAAGGACATTAGCAATGAGAAAAGACAAAAAGTCCTGCCTCCATGGAGCTTACGTGCCAGCAGGAATGTGCCATTCAGGCTTTCTTTTGGAAAAGTTTGCATTACATAACAAAAAGGGGCTGGTTCAAAAAGTATCCTGAAGAAATCATAGGAATTCCAGGACAATCCAGTGAAAGTGGCCTGGGATAGTCACAAAAAGCAGTAAAGGCCTTTTAGAAAAAAATAGGTATAAACTGGATCTGAGGAAAAGCAACATTTGGACAGATCAAGAGGCAGGGGCCCATGGGCAGCATGTTTGGGCACAGGCAAAAACTCCTGCCTGGAGGGCTCAGCGGTCAGGAGGGGCAATGAGAAAGCCCTCACAGGAGGCAGGCAGGGGGGCTCTGTCCAAGGCACCGAGCCCTAATTTTAGGAAGGTAGTGAATCTTGTCATTGAGTAAACTGATTGGGGCACAAGAATCCAACATGTGCTGTTGGGAGAATCATTAAAAGCATAAAGCTTTGTGAAACTTCGGAAAATCCCCCTGGCACCATGCAGCTTGGGCTGTTCCAGGCTATTCTGTGGGTCTCAACCATGGGTCCTGTTTCTGCATCTAAGGAAGGGAGAATTGATGCTTTTGGTCTCGGATCAATCAGCCAGCTGGAGGGTGGAGGGCAAGGGGACAGCTGCACCCTTGCAGAGTGTCACCTGACAATCCGCGGCCGTCCCCCCCCCAACAACCTGCAACTTAACATCATCCTTCTCCCCACAGCCTGCCTTCAAAGGCCTCACCTTCACCGACCTGCCTTTGTGCCTGCAACTGAACATCATGCAGAGGCTGAGTGACGGGCGTGACCTGGTCAGCCTCGGCCAGGTGGCCCCTGACCTGCATGTGCTTAGCGAGGACCGGCTGCTGTGGAAAAAGCTGTGCCAGTACCACTTCTCCGAGCGGCAGGTCAGTGGGCCCGACAGGCCACCCCTCCTCTGTCGCCTGACCCTCACACTTCCTTGGCATTTTTCTCCAGCTTGAGGGGTGGATCCCACCCTCCAGGGCCTTGCTGGCTATCTAGAAGGCAACCTTACAAAGTGTCTCTAAATAACATATGTGAGGGTTTCCTTTAAGGCGCTTTTGATGGAAACAAAAACAACCAAAAAAAAAAAACAAAAACAACAACTTACATTCTTAACCTATATGCATGCTTCACACCTTGCTTTAAAAAGTTCATAAAGAAACACCAGTCCTCCTCTTCTATAACAAAGTTAACTTTAAAAAGTAACCTTTTTATATATTACAGCTAATGAACTTGTATACATATTATTTCACTTTAGTCCAACACCCAGGGTAGGGTAGGTATCATTATGCTCTGTTTAAACAGACGAAGGGACTCAGGCCCCAAACCAGGGAAATGGCTCTCAAGGTAAGGAAACTGGCCTTGAGTGTGAATTTGAACTGGGAGCTTCTGACACCAGCTCTAGGCCTGTTTCCCCTCCTCATGCTCCCTCAGACTTTTCCCCCCAACTTTATATAGATGTGTGAGTTCAACAAGTTCTGTTCACGAAGCCACTAATATTTAGATATAAAATAGAGCTACTGTGCCAAGCAGTTACTGCATCTCCCTGGAAATAAATCCCTCAAGTCTACAACAAAGAAAAGATGGAAGGTGTTTATTGAGATCACCTGAACTTTTAAAGGACCATCCAAATACAGTTTAGTAGAGGTCACTAGTGAGATGTCACCAGCCACCTGTTTCTTTTAAAGACTGGCAAAAGCCACTGTTTCACTGGGTTAGAGTTCAGAAGGACCTTCTTTATATCTTGGCAGTTTTTTCCCTGGCAGTTGCAGGGGAATGCAAAAGGGGAAGGAGGGTGGGAACAGAACTTTTCAGAAGCACAAAACCACAAACCATCTTCTTGATGAACTCTCCTGCAGTTGTTTGCAATTTTCTGTATTCGTTTGCAATTTAGATCCGCAAGCGATTAATTTTGTCAGACAAAGGACAGCTGGATTGGAAGAAGATGTATTTTAAACTTGTGCGATGTTACCCACGGAAAGAGCAGTACGGAGACACCCTTCAGCTTTGCAGACACTGTCACATTCTTTCCTGGAAGGTATGTGTCTCGAGGTGGCTGCCACAGTCCCCTAGCCCATCCCCTAAGAGCCAAAGGCACCAGCATTGCAAGACCAAAGCCCTTCCTACTTCCCTGCTCTTCACTTCTGCAGCTCCCACCCCAGCCCTGCTGAAGGTGTGGGGAACACTGATTCAGTCCCCAGGGAGAAAAACTTTGAGAGGCCTTCATTTCCTCCACCCCTATTTTTATGGATACATATTTTATGTGTATGTATATTTTTGTACATCCCACCCACCTCCAAATTCTCTGATCTCTTTGTGCACTGGTGCACATGGACACACACACACACACACACACACACACACAAACACACACACAGCTCTTTAGTTTTTGCAGAACTTATGGCATTCTGGACAGAAGAATGTTGTTTTGAGGCTGAGCACAGCCTCATGGTGCTACAGTGAGATGCTTCTGAGAAGTCAGACCTAACCATGATGTTCCTTTCCAGGGCACTGACCACCCGTGCACAGCCAATAACCCAGAGAGCTGCTCCGTCTCCCTTTCACCCCAGGACTTTATCAACTTGTTCAAGTTCTGAGTCCCAGCACGTGACAACACTTCAGAAGGGTTCCCCTGCTGATGGGATGGCTGGGAATACAGAGTTTGGACACTTCATCTGTAAATAGTGTACATTTGAAACCTTGGCTCGAAACTTCTGAGATAAGTCACTGAGAGGACGTCGCAAGGGGAGAAATGCGGTTGCTGGCTGAGAATTTAAGAAAATGGACTTCTCGTTAGAATCGGTATGGAAAAGCAGAAATACTGTAAATAAACTTTTTTCTCCCTTTTTGCCGGCAAGACTATAAGGGCAGGAATTCCGTTTCATCGGTGAAAATGGAAATCCTCCTGATGTTCACTGACACTCCTTGGTCTAGTTCCCTAGGGATGTGGAAGACAAGGGGAGGACTCGAACACAAGATAGAACACTCTGTTTACAATGTGAAAATGTGCTCAAAGAAAGAGAAGACGAACATACGCGAAATCTCTGCGCTTTGGTTTCAATTGTTGGGGGGGGGCTTGTAAAAGGGCAAAGGAAGTACCACCCATCTTAACCCCGTGTGGGCATAGGGCCTTATCTTGCAAATCTATCACACAATTCTCTACCTCAGAAAGTAGGCACTGCTCCCCCTGACAGAGCGCATCACCCAGTAGGCCGCGTCTGCTGGTCTTGGTTTTGGTTTTTCGTCACATTGAAAGGGGTTTCAACAGGAAGGGATTCTGGAGGCAATCCTCATCATGCTCCAGACTTCCTTTTTAGGCAAATAGGCACCCTTTTGGAGTTGTGTCTTTTCTAGAACAACCCCGCAGCACATAGGCCTCGCCTTTCATGCGGTAGCTCATTCAGGGTGGCATAAGGCCAATTAAAAACAGTCCCAGAGGAGGTCCTCCTTCAGAAAAAGATAGAATTAGTCCCACCCAAGAGATGTGAAGACTTTTCGTATTCTTGTTTCACTTCTCGACTTGTCTGGGTTCCTGGAGTCTATTCACGGATAAGCGTATCTGTGGACGGGTGGGAGCCAGAGTGCTGATAAAAGCTGGGGAAACGGGTTTTACGTATCAGTGAGATGGTTTCCCAGCTGCTGTGCCTCATGGCAGGTGACAAGCCGAGGAGCTCTCTTTTTCTTTAGGTCCGACATCAAAATTGAATCAGCCTAAGCTAGGACTTCATGCAAGGATGACAAGAATAAAGCCTGGAATTCCCAGTCACAGGGAACAGAAGTACTGTGCGGTTCTTCCTAAACTTGCTCCACACCCCCTGGGGATCTTGCTAGGCAAATAGCAGCAGGTGTGGAAGAAAGGAAATCTCAGGACTTAAGGAGTTCGTTGTCAAATATTCCTGGGATGGGGGAGGGGACGTTTTTGTTTTTTACTTTTTATAGAACTTGGCTTTTCTACAACAATGTACATATTCTGGCAGTTGTGTTTGCTTTGTGCTTTTTTTTTTTTTCCTTCTTTTGCAAATAAAGTTGCCACCCTGCATGCCCTTGGCAAGTAAGTGAAGCAGAAATAGGAACTTGCTCACATTCACACTGAAGAACAGTTATATCCTTAGGGGTGGAAGCTTGGGGTGACCTGGAGAGGGCAAAGGTGGGTGAGCATGTATAGAAACAAAGCCAGGCACCGGCTGGCGATGCCGAGCCCCTTGCTGCCCTGCCCAAGTGTCAGCATGCTGAAGAGAAGGCAACCATCAGCCCCCCTCACTCTGCAGCACCTGTGCCTACCTATACACCAGCGCATCTCCATGTTTATCTTCATTATCACTCCCATCAGAAGGAAAATTTAATTTAATTTAAATGCTCCCCACTGAGCTGAATTCAACATTGAAGAATAAGATCTTGTTGGCTAAGGTTGAGCTTCTGGAGCCCCTGTAATACCTAGTGGGGTTTTTGTTCTCCCCTCCCCCTGAGTCAAAGTCACACTGAGAATGCAGGCCCTAGATGGTCGAATTAAAAACTTAGCTCTTCCAGAATTCAGATGTCTCTCAAATGGCTCAGCTTCCTGAAAGATATGGGGCGGAGCTGGGTTGATTGCGACTGTGAGATCTCTGGAACCTTTGACTCTGACATTTTTAGGTTTAGGCCTGCATGGCCTTCCACATCTGTCCATCACCTCATGACCTCTGCCCCTTCATACTGATCCAGGAGGTGGAAACCCCCCAGGCACCCTCAGGTTTGCAGTCCCAGAAATGTTGCCTGCCTTAAATTGTCAGCACCGAACTGGCAAACCAGTCTCCTTTGGACTGTCTGCAGCCCACGATTGCATATCATCCCCCAGGCAGTGAGGTGCATCTGCGCGAGACGACTCCTGCCACTAGTGGGAGGGTTTTGGCTTTCTGAGATGTTTCCCTTAGTGGTGCCTCTGGGCTCTCCCTAACTGTTGGCATCTTTGGAGGTGGTGTGTGACGGAGTCAAGGAAAACTTTTAAGGAGAAAAGAGAAGAAACCAACATTTATGGTTCTCTTTCATTGGTAGTGGAGAATAAGAAAGGAAATGGCAGGTGGAGAGGGATGGGGGAAGGAATAGAAATGGCCTATCTTTGATGCTGTGGTTTGTGTGAAGGCAATGGAGAAGAAACTAGCGGGTGCAGAGCATCTGTGTTGGCGCCACATGGCAGCTGTTCAGCATGGCCAGAGCCTCACCTATAAGTAAAGTGAGTGAAAAAGAAAATTCTTGTTCCCTGGGTACCAATCATCTTTAGAATTTCTATTGGCAAACCCTCTGGGGACAACCTAACCTAAAAAAACAAAACCAAAGAATCCCTGTCTCAAAACTGCTAGTCTAAAAGCCAGACGGACAAGATGGTGGAAACTACTAGAAGAGACAGAAGGCTCCCCTCTCTTTGCTGTACCTACCTAACCACTCCTACCCCTGTAACGTAGAATTGGAAATTTATGTCAGCTATGAAGTAATTTGGACTTTGAAAGAAGGAAGGAGTGTGTCCAGGGCAGGGTGAGCACAAATCCATGGGGATGTTATGTACAATCTGGTTCAACTTAAAGGTGTATAAGCAACAAGCCTGGAGCCTCTTGAGAGTAAAGCACAACATTTAGGGAAAGAATATGTGAGTGCTGACGTCATAGCAAGATTCAGAAAAAAAGTCCAATGACATCTTCAACTACCTTGCATTGTTACTTTAATGCTATTCCTTTGAGGAGATGGATCAGTGTCATGGGAGGGTGGGTGACAAAGCTTCAAAGAAAAACATCACCAGGGTGTCAGTTGTGAGATGACATTTATTAAGTGATGATCAATTTTATACCGAAGCGGCTCAGAGGAGTTATTTGGGGTGGGGTGGGTTGATAACCACAAAACAGTGCAACAGTGGGCTTTACTTGAGGGTGAAGGAAGGTAACAAGCATGCACCGTGTTATTGCCATGATTCTCTGTGGATTCGAAAACTTTTTCACGAGGAGCTTGCAATTAACAGGCTCCTTTTTTACTGTTGTTTCTTTGTGGGAGCACAGAGGGAGCTAAGAATTTCATTTGTCTAAGCAAGTGGTGTGATTTACAAGGTCAATCATTTCAAGACATGTTCAACAATGTATCATTTGTAGCATTGGATACAATGTTTACCATAAAATATGCACCTGACTTTATATTTTTTTGCCAGTTTATAGGGCAAAAGTGTTTTGCTATGCACTCTATTTTATGTGTGAACTTTTTTAACTGTAATTTTATGTGTGAATTTTTTTTTAACTAAACTATATCAACATTTTCTATGTGGACATCTGGGTGTTGTTGTTTTTTTTTTATCTGTTTCCAACTATCTGTGTCTGTGAACCATCCTTCTGACTGGATGCTGGCCTAAAATCCTATTAGTGTTTAAACAGACCTCAGAAACACCCTGAACCTCTAGACAAATGCTAAGAGATGGCTCTTTGATATATCTCGGGCTCACGATGTCTTCAGTAAACAAGATCATAACTCCTTTAAAGCCAACCTTTTCTGTAGAAGTTTTCTTCTGTGTTTTGTTAAAGACAGTAAACCCTCCATGGCTTCCCAAAGGAAGGAAACTCCTATCCCAGACTCTTGTGCTGGAAGGGAAGTTGAGGATGGTGGAGTCTGGCATTCCATCTGCCCTTCAACACGAGGTAGTGGGACATGTCTGAGCCCATCTGGTACTCAGTGGTAGACCTGAATATGAACCCGGGATTTTCTGAGGCCTTTACTTTGTACCCTCTATCCAGCATCCTTTGGTGTGTCCAGAGACACATAACACCTGGCCCGATTGTTCTCCACACCTTCACTGTGAAAGGCAAGCATGAGGGTCCAGTGTTAGGCATCTGGCCATTATCTTTTCCAAATATTTTAAAGTTAACATTTCTCCCTGGAGCCACTTAACATTTTTGCAGACTTCTGACCCTATTGTGAGTACACCATCCTAGTAAGTACAACCTGCTTACCATAAAGCAAACAGCATATTTTGACAAATTCACTTTTCCCTGGGTACTTTCATTTTAATTACAAAAGTGGCCCTTAAGACATATAAAGGCTGAGCAGCTGGCTTGCTTTCTAGAAACTGAGGTTCTGATGGTAACCAAGCGGGTATTTCCTCTCAGACTAAGAAGTACATTTAATCCATACCCTTCATCTCCCCATCCTCCGGCACCTGCCACAAGATCTGGTGAGTGTCCATCAGGGGTGGGGGGGGATCCTCCCACCCTCTGCTAAACGTCAACTTCACTAAGCAAAGAGGGATTATTCCAAGAGGCAGCAAGGAGCGAGAAACCACAAATATTTGTGACTTTGTCTGCTGGACGTTTTTCCAAGTGTCCCTGAACACAGCAAACAAAGCTTCCTGAGAAATCTTCCAAAATTCAGGCCCTGCTCCATTTGTCCAAAAATGGACGGCTGCTCCAGATCCCTGAAGCTCTTAAAACGCCATCTGCTACGACGTTACTTCTGGAGTTTGAACATGACTTTTTCTGTCTTTGAGTATAGCAATGTTTGTTTAATTAACGATGCACAAGTCTGTTAAACAGAAGGCTCCAAGGACTGCTCTATGCTTGAGAGCTCTTGGCACCATCTTTATTCTACCAAATGCCAATAACCCTGGCTAAAGGGAGTGTATATTAAAGCCCATGTCCTAAGTTCAGAAGCTTTACTCTTTTTAATAAAAAATAGGAGGTTGAATATGTAACTAAAAGTATAAGGTTAGTCTTGTTACATGCAAAGATGTTTATTTAATATTGTGTGAGCTAAGTCCTTCTGTATAAATTATTTGCACACTTTCCTTGCATGATGAACTGATTTTTTTTATAGTTGTTTGTACCAGACGGTGGCATATTTTTGTAAAAATTTTTTGACACTGAATTGCAATAAATGTTTTTCCAACAACACATTGGTGCATTTTTGGCGTGTGCCAATTCAAGTTGGCTTTTTAACATACTGAGTATGTTTATCTTTTGCCTAGTGAGGCTTAGATTCCTTGTCCCAGAAACTTATCATTGTTACAAAATTTCTAGGAATATGGAGAAAAATAAGCTTGCTGCTGAGTACCATCCTCAGTCAATAACAGCATTATGCGTAAACGGGATAGTTCCATTTGCTGTATGTATAATAGAATGATTAGGGAATCATGAGCTATGAAATCAATATCCATTTATTCATCAATAGACATTTCTTGAACAGCTAATATACACTGGACCCTGTGCAAGGCACTGGAAACAGGACAGTGAACAAGACAAATAGAGTGCCCGCCTTCATGGAATTTTGATTCTAGTGGGAAAAACAAAAACACACAAAGCAAGTAGGAAAATATTTAATTCGTAATAAGTGCTACGATAAAAATAAACAAGGGGCCAAAATGCAGAATAACAAGGGGACCTGCTTTTAACAGGCTGAGCGAGGTGGGGCAGGGGCGTCTCTCCAACAACAGATAGGCTGAGATCTCAACTGTGAGAAAGACCAGGCTGCAGAACATGGATATGTTCTCATGCATTCCAGAAAGAGGGAATGGCTTGTGCAAGGTTCAGGTCATGGTCCTGCCACTTACCTGCAGTGCGACCTTTGTCAGCTTAACCCCTCTAGGTCTCAATTTCCTAAATTCCAAAACAGTGGTACTAAATCTATTACTTATGGTTGTGAGGGTTTAGTGAACTAGTACAAGGAAAATTCATGAAGCCAGGCACATGACACATGTTCTGTCGATATTAACAATCATGATTCCCTGAGCAACAAGGGTCTGAGAATTGGGTTAGGCATTACTCTGCATCTCTAGTTACGTGTGATGTGCTTAGGTGTCTGACGTGGTGGCTGACCTACTCAATAATATATTTACTCTGGAACACATCTCAATCCTGCCACTAACTCTCCCATCAGAAAATGACAAAAAAAAGAGAAAAAAAGGGGGGGGATCCCTGGGTGGCGCAGCGGTTTGGAGCCTGCCTTTGGCCCAGGGCGCGATCCTGGAGACCCAGGATCGAATCCCACGTCAGGCTCCCTGCGTGGAGCCTGCTTCTCCCTCTGCCTGTGTCTCTGCCTCTCTCTCTCTCTCTCTCTCTCTCTCTCTCTCTCTCTCTCTCTGTGTGTGTGTGTGACTATCATAAATAAATAAAAATTTTTAAAAAAAATAAAAATTAAAAAAAATTAAAAAAAAAGAAAATGACATAAAAGGCACATGAGAGTAATCAGATTTTTAAAAAATTCCTACCAGGATCACAAAAGCTCAACATTCAGTAGCTATCCCATGCTTTCTTTGCTCAGGCTGCTCCATCTACCTAGAATAGTCTTCCCTAAAGCCTTCTCCGACTGAGTAAATCTCCCTCCCAGAACACTTTTCTGCATCTAGACTTTGCTACACTGTAGTCTTATTTGGGGCTGTGTCATAGTGCCCAGTCCAGTGCTGGGGCTGCATGAATTAGTGACACACACAGACATTCACAAAATGCTTTTCAAAGTCTCACTGATCGCATACCTTCCACTCGAATAAGAATCAGTGCAAGCATAGAACTATTTATAGCTTTTTAGTTAAAAATTAATGGTAGTTGAAAAAGTAACAAACGTGGGGACCTAGTTTTCATTAAAGTTTAAGTTCGACTAAATCTTTACAAGTCTAGTAAATTTTCATACAAAATAAGAGGGGCTTTTCTTACTGTTTGATAAGCTCAAATTGAATGACTAAAGTCCCTTTAAAAAAATAAGTCCCTTTTATACACCTAGTGAAAATTCCTTGGAGCCCCTGGGTGGTGCAGTTGGTTAAGCATCCTACTCTTGGTTTCAGCTCAGGTCATGATCTCAGGGTGGTCAGATCAAGTCCTGAATGGGGGCTCTGAGCTCAGAGAGGAGTCTGCTAAAGTTTCTCTCTCCCTCTCCCACTGCCCCTCCCCGTGCTTTCTCTCTCTCTCAAATAAACAAATATTTTAAAAAGGGGAAGGGGCCCCTGGGTGGCTCAGTGGTTGAACACCTGCCTTTGTCTCAGGTCATGATCCCGGGATCCTGGGATCGAGTCCCACAGGGAGCCTGCTTCTCTCTCTGCCTATGACTCTGCCTCCTTCTGTGTCTCTCATGAGTAAATAAATAAAATATTAACAAAAAAAATTCCTTTAAACATGTTAAAGCTACAATTATAAATCTAACCCATTTGCCTTTTTTTTTTTTTTTATAAGCACTTCAAATGTCTGCTCAGGTAAGCATCAACCCTAAAAAGCAAAACTATTCCCAGGTCAATTAATAACTTATAAACTTAGTAAATTAAGCATAAATACATCTCAAAAACTCTAGCATTGTTAAAACATGTGCAATTATTATATCTTTCTGTTTAAAATCATATCTTACACGAATTACTTATTTTCCATGGAAATCATAAGGCTACCACTGTAGGCAAAATAATGTCTCTCTGAAGATGAACACATCCAAATCCCCAGATCCTGTAAGCATGTTACATGGCAAAGGAGAATTTGTGGGTGTGATTAAGTGCTTTGAGTTGGGAGATTATCCTGGACTACCTGGGTGGGCCCAATCACAAGGGTCCTTGAAAGTGGAAGAGAAAGGCACAAGAGGACAAAGTGATGTGATGAGCTAAGGGCCCTCCCGCCACTGCTGGCTTTAAAGAGGCAGAAAGGGGGTGAGGAGCCAAGGAATGGGAGCACCATCTATAATCAGGAAAAGGCAAGGAAACAATTCATCCCCAGAGTCTTCAGACAGGAATGCAGCCCTGCCAATACCTTGAAATTAACCCCGGTGAGAACTGGGTTAGACTTCTGACATTATAATGGATCTGTGTTGTTGTAAGCCACTCAATGTGGGAGCCTGGGTGGCTCAGTGGTTGAACACCTGCCTTTGGCTCAGATCATGGTTCCGGGGTCCTGGGATCGGGTCCCGCATCAGGCTCCCCACAGAGAGCCTGCTTCTCCCTCTGCCCATGTCTCTGCCTCTCTCTCTCTCTGTGTGTGTCTCTCAGGAATAAATAAATTAAATAATTTTTTAATTTTTTTTAAAATTTATTTATGATAGAGAGGGAGAGAGGCAGAGACACAGGCAGAGGGAGAAGCAGGCTCCATGCACCAGGAGCCCAATGTGGAATTCGATCCCGGGTCTCCAGGATCGTGCCCTGGGCCAAAGGCAGGCGCTAAACCGCTGCGCCACCCAGGGATCCCTAAATATTTTTTTTAAAAGCCACTCAATGTATAGTTAATTCATGACAGCAAAACAGGAACTAACAGCAGATTTGCTAGCATGCCCAGCAGCATGCCCTACAAAGCCATCAGTTCTGACCATTCTGCTG